CACTTCCAAGATACAGCTGCCACGCCTTGCCAGTGAGGGACATTTCAGTGCAAATTACTTAATGAGTCAATATATATGTAAAAAAATTTCCTTGAGAAATTAGGTAGGGGACAGAAGTTAGGGCTGAACAATGTTTAGTCTCAGTGGGTGAAGGAAACTAGTTGCTTCCTGGGTACATGTGCATTTGGCCTGGGGATTTGGAGAGTGGGAGGTGCTGGAAGGTGCTGTTGCACTTACCTGGGGCTGTTTACTGACTATTGTAAGGCTGCAGAGGCAGCTGGTAAGTCCTGTGCTAGAGGAAGCAGGAGGCTCAGGACACTGCACAGCGGCTGGTAGATTGGTGCTGTGGCCACCTATCAAAGTGCTTGCAGAAAGGATGCAAGGGAAGCTCTGGCACCAATATTAGGCCTCTTTCCTTACAGCTGACAATCAGGGTACCTCTACATATGTGAGGAGGCTGCTCTGATGCGCTGTAACTACAGAACATCGGAGGAGACTCGATTAATCAAGTCTGCTGGAGCATACTAATTAGCACGCTCCAGCCAGTCTCCACATCTCATAGATTAGCATCCCTGCACTTCAAAGCAGCAGCGGGGGCACTTTAACTAAAGCCCATTCAACAAGCTGTAGTTAAAGTGCCCCTGCCACCATTTTGAAGCACGGGGACATTGGTGCATGAGATGCTGAGGGTTCTTTAATTACAGTGGCACTTGGAGCTACTCTATTTAAATCACCCTTGCCCCCCCTCCCCCCCCGCCACCCTATTCCTAGTGCACATGTAAAAACACCCTCATTTCCCCTGTCCACTGCTGCCCCATTCAGTTCCTTCCAGAAGTGGGAGCAAAGGAGCAGAAGGTGCCTGGCTGCAACACACAGTGGGTGCTGGAGCAAACGAGAACTAGAAGGTGCACTGTAGCTCCTGTCAGCAGCCTAGTCAAAATCCGTGAGGTCCACATCAAGGTGTAGACAGGCCCCATGCAGCTGTGAGCTGTGAGAACATCCTATAGGATAGCCAGACACTTAGCATCCTTAACAAACATAGGAGGCACCAATTCTCCTCCAGGTTGCACCAGTATAACTGGCAGGAAAGTCCCTCTTGCAATGAGAAAGGCCTGGTGTTCTAAGCAGATACATCTGATTTCAATGGAAGTGTATGCTGAGCTAAGGATATCTCTTTATGGAACTACCTGCAAGATTAAGGCCCAGATTACAAACTAGTGGGGCTAACATCAACTTCATTTCAAGATTTGCAGATTATTTACATGGAGGAAATGGGGACAAGAAGGGTAATGGCAAGATGCTTTGCTGTTCGCTGACAGTCATGTTAAATAAATGTGCTGGGGAAGAAAGATGTTGCTTTGTTTCACAAACGTGTGTAATTAATCAGGCTATCTCAATGTTTCCCTTAATTTTAAATTATGTCAAGGGATTGTAAATCTATGAAGCAAAAAAAAATGGGAAATAACTGAAATCAATAAAAAATCTTATGAACATGCAAAGTTATTAGTGAAATACAAGGATTTTAATTAAAGATCCTGGCTTCTAGCAAAGACGATAGGTTACCCTGATTGATCTAGGCAGCTGGTTCAGCTCTTTTTCTCTCTCTCCCACCAGCCCATAGTTCATTTTCACTGCTCTAACTGGATACTTACTGCACTGGCACTTTCTTTTACTAAACAATGCCAGTTACACAAAGACTGTAAATACAATTGTGCTTGGGACAAACTCCTGTACACTTTCTCTCTCTCTCTCTGTGTCTCATGCACATGCTCATACATAGCGTTTTACCTTATTATATGTTTACGTTTTGCATTTGAGTTAAAGCCTATTTGCATTCCCCACATTCCATAAGTGAGAACTAAATTTTAATTTAATCATTTTCCTTTCTTGCACATACATTTTTCTAGGACACAGGGCATAATCTGTCATTTTAATAAAATCATGTATTCAATTTATAGCAGTTTCAATTTCTTTCATAGTGAAATGAGGGGAAAAGCCACAGAAATAAAGAGGCGAAACAATAAACAAGGCCTAGCAAATCATTTTAAAAAATGAGTAGAAATGTTTGCATATCAAGAGTTTTGTATATTTGTCTTCAAAGGGCATTAGCTTTTATTCCATGGGTATTGACTGCCTTTTATAAAATCAGACCCTTCTGTAAGAAATCGGTAAATTAGCCTGTCCTCAAAGTAAGGTATTCAGAATCTCTAGTCATTTTTTATAATGTTTGTCATTAATATTTACTATCATTTCCAATTATAAAATGATATAAAAATGGGTTGTTAATTGCGTAAGATGGAATCCTCAAATGATCCCATCTCTATCTCTTTAGAAAACTATTTATAATTGTCTTCTTAAATATGTAAATGTACATGTCACATTTGTATAGACAGTAAGGCAGTTAAATGCAGGTGCTCCAGATAGAGAGAAATAGCTGGAAGGCAACACAAGAAGCAAATATTTGGTAGACATTTATGCTAGAACAAAAGTATCTTGTTGCTTTTTTCCCTTTCATGTAATTTGAAATGAAAAACAAGGATTAAGATCTTTTGGATTTATCCTTTTTCATGGAAAATCATTTAAATTTTATCTTAGGAGAGGGGCTCATTAGATTTTTTTTTCCTTCTTTGCTTTAGTATCTCATTAAAAAGGAAACTATTAAAAATGCACATATAACTGCATGAAAGCTGTTTTGGGAACAAAATATTTTGGCTGGAACAATTACTGCCAAAATAAGTACAAAATGCATAGAAGGTTTCAAAGAAGTGCACACCACCAATCTAACATGAAACATTCCCCCTTCTCCCTTCTCCCTCCTCCCCACCTCCTGCAGTATTTACTCAGGCTGACTTTTGGCCATAGGGGATAGGGGATATCTGAAATAAAATATCTACAATTCCCGATAGTAAGAAGTTGCAGAGAGCTATCCTGATGTGTGCTCAAAGGCAAAAGGGCATTGGGTAGCTATTTCAAATGAGATGTGCATGGTCTATATATCTTTCTGGAGTCTGGATAGCTTGCTTCCTTTTATCGTTTATTATTTTTGTACCCAGGCTCAAGCCTTAGTCTGTTCCCAAAGCTCCAATCTAAGCATTCAGTCACTGTAAAGAGAGATGGTTGTCACTCCAAAGAGTAAACCTACTGTATAGCTCTGCTAAGCTTTTGACTTCAGAACAACATTGCAGATAAATTTTGCTCGCTCTGGTCTTACTACTTTAATCCACTAAATCTGTTTGCTTATCTTATTGCAGCTCTGCCTAGACTTAAGGAACCAATTCTGTAGGTGGACTTCTGCAGCTGCACAGAGTCCCACTGAAGGTAACAAAATGCCACATAATACTGAATTAGAGCATTTACCTGCAGGAATCCAAGGCTAAGCCAGAACCCACTCTGATATTACTATGATCTGTTTAGGGGCTAGTGACAAGTGGTTCAAAGGTTGGGACAGGTGTTTGGATATTTCCCCAAGTTGTTAGGATATGCATACATTTGAGAGAGCAACAGCTCTACTGGGTAGAACAGACAAAGAAAGACTATATATTAATTCTAATCTAGCTTCGACAAAAAACGGTTTCTGCCAAACTAATATCCAG